GCACACTCAACACACCAATATATAGGGAGGAAAACAATGGGCGCGTTCATAAGACGGCGACAAGACCCGTAGGCCCGTTGACACCCAGAGAAACAAATGGCCTACACTGTAAATGAATGTGATCAATGCTCATTGTTTTTGTCACGCGCGAAAGTCAATCCACTACTCACAATACATTAAACGCGACCGGAAAAGGCTGTGCAGTTTGCTTTGAAGCTCGTCCTTTGTTTCCAAAGATTTAATGATACCCGGTCATGCCATAAGGTGTTCGACCGGTACAAGACGCGGCGCACAATACCACCACCAACAGAAATCGAGAGACGAGCATGAGTGAATTGAAAAGAGATAAATGAGTGGAAGAAGTACTAGATTACATCGTGAATAGATATCGTCCAATGAATTACAGAGAACTTGGCCCGTAATCTGGGGCTGCTTATTGCCTGGGAGAACCTCCTCCCTGCGTCTGGGTGAATGCATCAATCTGGCGCTTCTCCTCTGCCTCGCGCTGGATCTTCCTGTCTGCTAACTTCTGTTTTGCAGTTAATGGCCTGAATAATAAGAGGATTCCAGCACGTACCGTCTTCGCGGCGAGAATCGTCGCCATAAGTGTGTCCAGCGTTGCTTCGCTCATATCCGTCATCTATCCACAGGATCAGCAAAAGGCGGTGAGAAGAAGATACAGTGCTCACAGCATCCTCAGCCTGCGTTCGCATCTTCCTGAAATCACGCTCGTCCCACGACTTGAGAGGACTCTCTTGCTGGCGACCCCACGGCGGCCATTCGTACGGCGCCGCTTCACGGGGTGGTTGTTGTGGTTGCTGTGCAGGCGCCGATTGTTGTTGGACGGGCGGAGAGGTGTAGGGCTGGGAAGGATACGCTGGCTCCACCAGGGGAGGCGTCGATGCCTCACCTCTTGGAGGCGCACCGTGCTGAGCGTAGTACGCCGCCTTTCGGCGCTCGCAGTACCCGCCCCATGGTCCGTAGGGATGCGCTTCTCCAGATCCCATATGCTGCTCATGCCACTGCTTGTGCTGCCCCCAGATAGTTGCTGTACCAGCGCCGACGAGGAACCAGAAGAAGCCACCCATTAGAGAAATTGTGGTTGTGGGAGATGATGGTAGTGTCGAGTGAAGTGAAAGTCTCAGATGAACTTGTGATGAAGGAGCTGCTGAGGCGCTGCGTCCGTATTTATATGGCCAAGTTCGTCCCACTGACGAGGACGAATGCGGCCGGCTGGAACTACTGCGGCATCTCGGCAGTCATCGAGAACGCATCGCGCTCACGCGTCGTCGTGCCGCCCCGCGGAAAGATCACAGCGTACGCGTGCGTGATATAAAGAGCATGATGCTCTATCTGGACGTGGACGGAGCCTCTGCCGATGAACATTGGACCGAAAGAGGTGCGAATACGAAAGAGCCTCGAGTAGCATTGCACTTGAATCATTAGGTTATCCTGACGGGGGAAGTACTTAGAAGGGGGTATGGCATTAGTACTTGCACTACACTTGTAACTGCTCGGCTGCACGCTGCATGTACCGGGATAGATTTCTCGCATTGGGCGTAGCCTCCCGCGGACTATGACCTGGTTTCCAGCAGCGTCTGCTTGAGCTTCGCGGCAAGGCCCTCTGTAAGTTGGGTAACGCCATGCGCGGTACAGGTGCGATACGCTGGCATGGCCTGATACGTTTCTGGTTTTATCTTGCAGTACCATGAGCACAACGTTGCAAGTGGTGCAGAACACGTACCTTGCCATCCTCAACAAGCACAGAGGCAATGATATCGTCTGGATCTCCTATCCGTCCCATGGGTGGTAGATTCCGTTCATCGTGAATATGCATCCAGCCATTCTGGAGTTGGATGGCGCCGTTCCGCTGGATATCGTCCAAGTCTGCCTCTAGAGCAGCGCGGTTCGATGCGTGCAAAAGCTCTGTGAACCGGGCTTGTGGGTTGTGAGTGAATGTAAGGGCATTGTAAACAGTAGGACACACGATTGGGAACAAAGTCATTGAGTCCTGCACCCTCTGCGCGCGCAGGCAGCCAGCCAATGACTTCGTCCGGTCCGCCGAACGTCTCCAGAAAAGAAACAGCAAAGCTTTCTCCGTTGACTACATGATAGAATATGTCGGGTCGTGAAGGGTCTGTCTCGGCGGCTTGAGAGTAGGCGCGGTGGACAACGCGGAGAGCGGGCCGAGGAAGCGGGCGGGCCAAATTATGTAGAAAAGAGCGGAGGGGTCGGACCGCTGTCCGTTGGGTGGAGAAAGCGGCGCGTACAGCGGTTTGACGAGCTATTTGACGCGCCCACATCATGGCAGAGAGACAGAACGGAGCCAATCAGGCGGAATGAGTTTCAGTGATCCGTTCCCACGTTTTCTCCGGAGGCCCTGAGATTTCTCTCCTGCGCCCATCACCGAAATTGTTTCTGCTCTCTAGGATGCATTTTTCTTGTGCTTTGATTTCTCCTTCTTGCCCTTCCTCGACGATCCATACCGCGAGACGAAGACGTTAACAGCCACGTGAGGGGAGAGGCGCGACGCCGACGTGCGAAGCCGTGCACCAATGTTCTGCGTGACAGCAGGGCTCAGTTCTACTATTGCCCTGGAGGTATCTTTCACCTCCACTGTGGTGACTACCTTGCCGTGGGACCTCCTCGGCCGATCGGAAATAGCGTGAGTATCGACAGGCAGCGCTCCTTCTTGAACGACAGCAGTTGGCTCCCTCATTCGATGTGACTTGTTCTTCAAGCGCCGTTTCTTGGAGGACGGAACCGGCACAATTGTAACGAAACTAGGACTAGGAGATGAGCATGTAGGTCCATCCCTCTGTACCTCGTCGACGAGGGCAGGATTGGCCATGGTGCCGCATCGCAGACCTCTGTTGGACACGCTATCCAGTGGTCGATATTCCATCGTAGGGAATGTTATCTACACGATCTCTCGTCTTCTCACTCTTAACGAGATTATGCGAGCAAGCTATCGTTCATACCATGTATGGCTTGAATGCGAAGTGCTCGTAACCGTGTTCCATCGTGCACGGTTGACTTCTTCCCACGTCTCGGATGTGCTTCGGACGCAGAATCTTGGTGTACGTCTGACTTTCGGTCGCCCTAGGTGAATGCTCTAGGCGTGCGAGATATTGATTGTACATGGCTCACCACTGTCCAACAGAATCAACGATCTCCAGCCCCCTATGCAATAAAAACTCAATGTAGTGCGCGCTCATACTGACCCTTCATAAGTGGATCGCGACGCTGGCGTGATCTCGTGAAGTGGGCAATCTCTCTCGCTTACTCTAGTAACTTAGTTTGAGCTTCTCTCTGCAATGCTAGGGGAATGTAGATTCTACCATTTCAACTGATCTTATGGTATCAACAGTGCCTACAAACAACTCAGATTAGACAATGTACTTGGAACATGCCATACTCTGCGTTGATGAGCGTTAGTCCCAATCACGCTCGGCCATTTGGACATGCAATACTCTGAACTGTCCATTTAAATAATCACGATCCTACCCTAACAGCCCCAAACGGTGGTATCGTATATCATGGTCCTAATTTGTCGTCCATGGCTCATCACTCTGATCGTTCTGAAAAAGAGACCTCTGGCTGCGGGATCTGGTCAACCCACTTCGCGAAGATGCACGCCTCACCATGCCAGGCCTCTGCGCCGTCGACTTGCCTTTATCACGCTCGGCATTCACGACCTTGCGCCTGGAAACAAGAGTGTTAGGCTCTTTAGATACGTCGACGAAGGGTTCTGGCGACGGCGACAGCCGACGAGCCTGTGGCTCTGGCGGCGACGCATCCATCTTCACATCTTCCTCAACCTTAGGCTCCTCTCCCTCCACTTTATCCCATATGTAGAGCTTTCTATTTGCAGGAACGTCTTTCTTCAGCCTTGAGAATCTGGCAGGATCCCTGTGGATTGCATACCCCATCCTGCGCTGCGCGGCGAGTCGCGCTCTGGCCGCCTCGGTGAGCGCTTCACGCTGGGTGTACGGTGTCGGAGTCCATGTGTCCCAGAAGTCCTTTGCTCCTGGGGTCGAGTAGCGTATGGGTAGGCTTTGCTCTTTGATTTCGCCTGGGCTCGGCTGGCACTGAACATCATGGTCGTACACCATATCAATGTCTTCGGGCTCAGGACTCGCTTCCCGTTGAGATTCATCCATGGAGTGGTTGCTGAAGGTGTTAGGAGTGATTGTTGCGTCCATGTCAACGCCCCAGCTCGGCTCTAGCGACATCTCACTGAGCTGAGGAGTAAGGATCAACGTCGGTTCTGAAATCCAATCAGTCGTAAATCCCACATAAAGAACAGAAACCGCATACCTCGCGAGAGCGGCTTCATTCAGTCTCAGTAAGATGTTGGGAGATAATGAGGACGACTTCGAGAAGAACGAGAGTGTGGGTGATGGTCAAAGTGAGAGCTGAGTGCAGTTCTTTGTACACCCCTTTATAAACCAACGTAACAATGGGCCGCCACTCGACCATTTATGGAAATCGATTGTCGAAGGACCTTGTCCGGTGGCCCTTTCAAGACTATCTGATTGTACTGGTACGATCGCAATAGCCTATTTCTGGCAGTCAGATATGGGGCCTGGGAAACATAGAAGATCACGAATATTGAGGCGTTTGTTCAACATGTCTAGTGGCTATCCACTTTGATTGCCCCGTTGACATCCAAATGGAGCTCCACACTGCCGGTGAAGAATTGTGGCGAGAGGACGACATACGTTCCTATAACTGCTATGCAGGAAGTGGACACAGGTCAATCAATCAGTGATAGTGGCTTTCGTATTGAATAGTAGTAAAAGCTTGCGGCGTTTTTGTGCGTCAGTTCTCATATGTGCCCGAATGATCATCCCCGCAGATAACGGAATAAGCCCCATTTATGGCGAGAAAGAGGTCGCCAAAGGAATCCAGAGGCTACAAAGGGACTTATGGCAACCCGTGGGTGCTTGACTCAAAGAAGAACAAATTATAAACAATGTCTCATTCGAAACACGCATGGCCGCGTAGCGTAATGGTTAACGCGTTGCTTTCCGGCTTATCAAAGCAAGGCAAAGATTCCAGTTTCGAATACTGGCGTGGTCGTTTTGTTTAGTCGTGGTCGTTGTGCAGAGTTAGTTTTGCAGCTCAGAATCTAAATGCCTCTGGACTCGGGCAGAAAAGAATACGAGGAAAATCATGCACCTTAAAAACAGAGAGCATTCTCCATGGAACCACCAAAATTAGTTGTTGTAATCTTCCATGTTGAGAGGCTCGTGCTCGTAACAACTCATTTTCGTGGTTGTAGAGAATTGACTCCATGCCAGTGAGGCAGTGATCGTGACCGACTCCGTGAGTTGAGATCCATCTAGAGAAAGTACAACAAGGAATATTTCATACAACTCTTGCATATGTACACTGACGACTAGGCACGACAAAAATACAGGGAATAGAACCGCGAAGTATGTACAAGCAGCATCATAAAACAAGATAGCGCCCCTATTTTGCATTTTCGACCATTACGCGCCGAACGTACCTCTTCCCCTCCCGCGTCCACGACCCCTGGGTACAAAGTTGGGATCAGCACCTCTCGGCACAAAGCCTCCTCTGGCGATAAACGGTCCACCGCGTCCCCTTCCTCTTGGTTCATACGCCCCACGCGCAGGCGGACCTCCATTGAACACTGGCGGTGGCGGCGCAATTTGAAGTGCAGCTCCCCTCCCGTTCGAAAATGGCGGCGCCCCACGTCCTCGCGCCATAATCCTCATCGGCGGCGCGCCTCGTGCGCCATTTGCATGCTCAGCAAACCCAGTTCTTGGTGGTGGCACCTGTACAGGCTGCGCTCGCTGGCCCGGTCCCACACCCATGATAAACTGTCTGTTTGACAAGTTGAGCATCGCAGAAGGATCGACCACAGCGCCCCGGTACGCCGAGCATAATCCACCCAAGCTCGTACCACCCATGAATGGCGAGTCGAAGACAACTTTGACCTCCGTTCCGCTCGTGCCAATGACCACGCCCTTTCCACCCATTGGAACATTGCCCGAATCCGACACACTGACCACCCGATCTCCCGTCGCAAACTTCTGGTCCTTCAGCCTATGAGGCGCATCAATCGGCATGAGCAATGCCTCACGCGGCACACCCTTGACAAGCGCCTTCTTCCCTGCACCGCCAGCCCCAGGACTCGTCGGGTCGGCCAAGAAAGCCTCAATAAGCTTGACAGCCTCGGGACTGATTTCCGCCGAGTCCACCGGCACAGGTGTGAAATCTCGCGCGCCTTGCTCCGCCAACCATTTTCTTGCAGCCTTCACCTCGTCGATGCCTCCAGGTACTTCTTCGGCGCGCACCATGTCCTGCCCTCCTTCGAGCACCCGGAAGATGCCAGGGCACGCGTCTTGATAAGCCTGCAGCAACTCCACCGCCTTCGCACTGTACTCCCAAGTATGACCCCTCTTCCTTGAGTACCCAGCCACACGAAGGCCCTTGCCCTCGAACTTGATACTCAGCCCAACATTCGTCTTGCTATTACCCGTCAAGATCATAAAGCTCGAAGTGATCTTCCCTATCGCACGGTTGCTAATCCCGAGGGTGTTTGCCGCCTCATATGATGTCCACCACCGTCCAGTATCCCCACCTCCCGATGCAGCATGGGCCACAACACCGCGCAGGGCCTTGACCTCTTCCTGGCCTTCCGGTTCGAACGCCAGGACGACCGACACAGCCTTGCCGTGGTCAACCAGCGCATCAATACGGCCCACACCACCATAAGCATGTTCGCCAAGGAAGAAACAGCGTTCGCCAATCTTCACGACGTCAGCAACGGCTTTCTCGATGTATCGCGGGTCTTCCTCCCAGCCTGGCGGGAGTGCCCTGACCAGGAGTTGTAGCGGAACATCGAAGATGGCGTTGGCTGCAGTGTCGAATGTTTTTGCCATCGCGTAACCTTAACCAGCGTCAGGTCTAGCTTACACAATAGAAACATGCTTACCATTTGCAGTGGAAACTCGCGTCATTCCCGTCAAGGGTTGGACATGAACGAGCACATCAACCTCTCCAGAGAGCACGCCCCGCTTCTTCGAGTAAATCTCTTCGATGCGATCCGCCTTGCTCTTCCACATTGAGCCATGGTCTCGATGGGGTGTGCGTATGATACGTGCTGGACCAGTCGTTACCAGTCGTTGCTGTCAACCCATCAGAAACAATAACGATGTGCATTAGCGAACTTACAATCTCCGTTCTTCCCTCCTTATCACTCACACCGATGACCTTTGCCTCTCTCAAGAATGGCCAGTTGACATATACCCGTTTCCCATCGTCTCCACTCAACAACTCTCTTTCCACCGGTGCCCTCGTCGTCCCAGGGTCCTCATGCACACTGACAACGACGCTGCGGTTCCTCGACTCTGTTCCATGTACGTTCACACCATGAACACCAAGCACTGCACTATGCCTCAGCGCCTTCAACGAGGGGAACCCCGCTCGGAAAGCCTCGACATGTGCTTGGGATGCCCCGCTCTCTGATACCGGCGGCTTCTCTACCCAAGAGTCCTCTTCACAGACATCGCGCGCCAAGTTAGGGAAATATCCCGTCAGCGGGCTTGCGTAGTACACTGCTTCTCCACCCTTGCGCTGCGTGAAAGTGCGACCGGCGCCAGATATTGTGTTCCGCTGGCGTTCGTCCTGCGTCAGGATGTGCTCTCTCACTACACTCATAAGCCATGACGTCTATTTTCAAGAGGGAATACGTACATCCTAGGGCAGCTCTCAGCCTCCCAATGTCAATGAAGGGGATCTTGACGACCGCCTCCCACTCTGCTCGTTTGCCATTCATATCCTGCTCGAACTCTGTTGGATAGAACTCGACAATGGGCGAATCCGGGTCGGACATGAGGGTCTGTAAATCTTGTGAGCTATAGGAATACCGTGCCCGACCAAGCTGCTTACTCTATACCCAGGTGGTACAAGACGCGAGCTTGCCACAGGCAGCACACTCATCAACTGTTCGAATGGCTTGAACGGTTGACCGAGGTCAAACTTCAGCGGCGCAAATCGCATGATGTTCTTGAGATCTATGAAAAGTCAACTCGATTTTCTGAACACGATGGATAACACACCCCCGATTCTAGGTGCATAATGGTACTTGAAGAACCAGCCCCAACTTTGCACTCCTCGATAGTAGTAGTACATCACCCACTGTAGGCCCTCGATATAGTTATGTACAAGACCGTCCAGTTCTTCCTGCGTCTTGAAACCGAGTTTCTCCTGCCCAAACGTTAGCTTCATGAGGTAAAGCGCGAGACATAAGCTCACTCTGTAGTACTCCCATCTCCATTCACTCATGCGCTCCTCCATCTGTTTATCCTCGTCGACTGCCCGTTCATCTACCGTCTTGTCTTGCTGGACTGGTGCGCGCGCATACTTATCAAGAACACGCATAATCGCGGCTTGACTCTCTTCTTCTTCCTCGCTATCTTCGCTATCCGGTGGTGGATGAGTTTCTTCTTCGTCGTCAACCGGGACGCTGTCTGGGTCCACTGCTGTCGCCTCTTCAATACCATCGCCGCTATCACGCATCCCTACAACCGCGGCGCCAGGCGTACTCCGCCGACCGGGCTTGGTCAAGACCACAACGTTCGTCTCGTGACCATCTGCACTTGCTTCCCAGCCATCCCATGCGACCCCAATCCTGAGTTCGTCGCCCAACTTCGAGAGGAACGCACGGTCCCTTGCAGGCATATCGTTCGCGATCTTCAACTGCTTCAGCTGTCCATCCATCACAAATTGTGACACTTTGTCCAACAGCGACGACTGCTCCACTGTCAACACTGTCAAGTGGTCAGGGAGTGCAGGAAGGAGGGTCAGGAAATAAGTACGAACCCAGTCCATTTCCGACGTCCTTCTTCTTGCCCTTGGGCTTTCCCTTCGGCTCGACACCCTTGCCTCTCAACCAGCCTGCGTCGACTTGCTCACGGGCCCAGACCTCCTTCTCCCACTCGCTAAGCTCATCGAGCACCTTCTGCAATCTGTCCAGATGTATCATTCCCGACGGGTCCATGAGGTATCCATCTTCACTGCGATGAGCACATCAACAAGACGCCTACAACGTTACTCACCCAAACCACCCTTTACGACCCTCTTGTACGCCTCGAACAAGCGGTCCAGCGCTTGGTCGTGAATGTGCAAGTCTGGCAAATTTGGCAGGAAATCATTCCCAACCAACACTGCCAGCAGGATGAAGTCGTTGATAACCCGCTCCAAATCGAAAGCGAACCGCATTTTACCCTGGTCGCGGAAGCCAGAGATGGCGAGAATGCCTGGGTCGGCGGCAGAAATCGCAGCATCGCCGGCTCCAAGAGCATCGACGCCTCCGCTATGCGCCAGGGACGAAAATTCCAATGAAAGATATTCCCTTAACAGCGAGAGGTGCAGCAGGTAGAACGGTGTCTTCTCGGGCTTGACTATTCCTCCACCGCCGCCTCCTCCTCCTCCGCTGCCTTTCCCGTGTTTTGGTGGTGGTTTGCGTTGTCTGCCACCGAACTGCACTTCTTCGCGCAGCAAGCAGAAGTGACGGTCGTGACAGACAAGTCCAAGCATGATTAGATCAGCGTCCAGGCCGTAAAGACAGTGGCGAACGCCCTTGCGTTCAGCATCTTCCAAGCCGCGAATGTAGGCCATGATCTTGTGCTCCCCTTCTCCTGGTACATCATGTCCGCTCAAAACAACCTGAACGTCTTGCCAGGCGCGGTCCTCCGTGATCTATTGGCATAATAAGAAAAAGTCGCAGACAAGAACGGACAACGCACCTTCTTATGGATGAAGTATCTCAGTTGCTTGTCCAGTCGAACCATGAACTCTGTGCCCGGGGTGATACAGTTACTGTCGAACCGACGTTTGTCGTATTCCTCCCAGCTCTCATCTCCGTTCGAGTTCTTGTAGTGAGCCTGCTGCGCCTCAAGCGCCGTACGGAACCGGCGTGACCGTTGTTGATTTTGCTTTGCGCTGGAAAATTATTGAGAAGTGGGCGATTGTGAGGCAAGGTCACACACCGAGGCGCGACACCATCTACCGCGAGCATGACCATCTTCTTCGGTTTGATGACTCCA